CAGCTTCTTTGTCTTTGGGCAAGTTTCAGCTTTTGTTTACCTGAGTAGATCAAACTGAACTGTTGAGGGGAAAGTGAGAATGAGAGAATGCACTAAGAACACTCAGAATAACTAAGAATAAAGCATTAGATTGTAAATGTCATGTGGGGGGGAGAAAAAGAAACTTAGGGAAGATTGGTATATTTCTTGATTGGTAACACATTTTATTCTAAAATAGCCTTGCAAAGGAAAAACTGGAGCATGTACCAATGTACAAATCATTGCTGTTACCAAAGCAAGAAAGGCAGGATAGAAGAAGAAAAGATGGCATAATTTTATTTCTGTGTCAAATAAAACAAATGCAGCTAAATCGAATTATATGTGTGTTAACCACCTATAATACAGTTTTGGTTGGGAGTATACTGGTTCACAGAATAAACTTTGAAAGTACCTGACATGTTTTTAAATCTATAGCTATTCTGAATCTTGGTAACAGTATGCTACGGTTTCGTTGTGAAGATGTCTTGGGAAAATAAAAATAATCACAGAGTTGAAATTAGTAACTGCTCAGGAAAGAGAGTCTCTGCAAGGACAAGGATAATTAAACCTCCACAGACCATTTCTATACTATTCATTTCAAGATTGAAATTTTTAGTCTCTCTCTACACACACGCACACAATTTGATGTCAAGAACTGAAAAAGAAAAAGTGGCCCCATTTCCCACGTGGATCAGTGATTTAAGGCTGTTTTTCTTGCTCTCAGGGAAATGATCGAGCATTAGGTTTCGGTGTTTATTTTCTTACAGAAGTTTTTCTCATTTAAAAGCCTTTAAGCACAGTTTATGCTCCACGCTGGTTTTCTCTGTTTAATTTCAGTTTTGATCTTGACTTAAAATGTGCAGCGCAGAACTAAACAGTGCAGAACCTTTGCAAGGCAAATTTATGTGTTAGAAATTTTAGATCTGATCAATTTAAAAACTTGACTTGTTTCTTTAAAGGCAGGGGTCATGAATAACAGCAGCATCTAGGAAAACAGCAACAA